TTCCGCGCGCCCGCCCTCCGCCTCAGAAAAAAAACTTCCCGCAGCGCCTGCGCCACCCTCTCTCTCTCTCCCTCACCTCCCTTCCATCGCTCTCCTGCGCCGCCGCCGCCCTCCCGCATCCTCCTCCAGCTCCCTGCAGCGCTTGCGCACAACCCTCTCTCTCTCTCTCTTCCCTCCCTCCCTCCGTCCCACTCGCTTCTCCTTGCGGCGGCCGCCAGCCCGCCCTCCGCTGCAGCCTCCGCAGCGCCTGCGCACACCCTCTTCTCTCTCCTCCCTCCCTCCCACTCGCTCTCCCTGCCGCGCGCCGCCGGCCGCGCCCTCCGCCTTCAGCTCCCGCAGCCTGCGCACCACCCTCTCTCTCTCTCTCTCCCTCCCTCCCTCCCACTCGCTCTCCCTGCGCCGCGCCGCCGGCCCGCCCTCCGCCTCCAGCTCCCCCCAGCGCCTGCGCACACCTCTCTCATCTCCCTCCCTCCCCTCCCACTCGCTCTCCCTGCGCCGCGCCCGCCGGCCCGCCCTCCGACTCAGCTCCCCGCAGCGCCTGCGCACAACCCTCTCTCTCTCTCCCTCCCTCCACCCACTCGCTCTCCCTGCGCCGCGCCGCCGGGCACGTCCTCCGCCTCCAGCTCCGCGCAGCGCCTGCGCACACACCTCCTCTCTCTCCCATCCCTCCTCCCTCCCTCTCCACCGCTCTCCCTGCGCCGCGCCCGCCGCCGCGCCTCCGCCTCCAGCTCCCGCAGCGCCTGCGCACACCCTTCTCTCTCTCCCCTCCCTCCCTCCCTCCCACTCGCTCTCCTGCGCCGCGCGCCCCGCCCGCCCTCCGTCCTCCACTCCGCAGCGCCTGCGCACACCCTCTCTCTCTCTCCCTCTCCTCCCTCCCAGCTCGCTCTCCCTGCGCGCGCCGCCGGCCCGCCCTCCGCCTCCAGCTCCGCAGCGCCTGCGCAACCCTCTCTCTCTCTCCCTCCCTCCATCCCTCCCACTCGCTCTCCCTGCGCCGCGCGCCGGCCCGTCCTCGCCGCTCCAGTCACCGCAGCGCCCTGCGCACACCCTCTCTCCTCTCCCTCTCCCTCCCTCCCACCGCTCTCCCTGCGGCCGCTGCCGCCGGACCCGCCCTCCGCCCTCCAGCTCCCGCGCGCCTGCGCACCACCCTCTCTCTCTCTCCACCCTCCTCCCACCCTGCTCCCTGCGCGCGCGCCGGCCCGCCCTCCGCCTCCACTTCCCGCAGGCGCCTGCGCACACCCTCTCTCTCCTCCTCCCTCATCACTCGCTCTCCCTGCCTGCACACCCTCTCTCTTCCTTCCCCCCTCCTCTCTCCACTGCCCCGCCCAGACCCGCGCCACGTCAGGGACCCTCTCTTTCTCTCCCTGCCCGCACAAGCCACCTCGCGACACCTCTCTCTCGTCTCGCTCTCCCTTGTCCGCACAGCCTCCGCACACCCTCTCGTCTTCTGCCTTTTCCCTCCCACTCGCTCTTTCTGCTACACGTAAGCCACGTTTCATGGTAAGTAGATTCCGAAATTGTCTGTTGACTCAGGTATTTTCTCGGAAACTCAGGAATTTTACGGAAAAATGTCATTCCCTTGTGTGTCTTTTACCCGACAACCAAAATTTAATAAAATATGTTCTGTTGGAAAATGTTCCAGGGGCTTTCATGTAATTCCTCCCCAAAATTAAAATTATCGGTTTCAATTCAAAGAGACGGACATTTGAAGATCGGTTGAGGAATATAATTTTGGAGAAAAATCGCGTGAAGGCGCTAGCGGTTGATTACAAAGAAGATAGACGTTTCAGAAGGTCCCACGACCACGAACATGGATTTTGGCAATACCAGCCGCGTTTGGAAGATTTGTTTTCTTAAATTTAGCCAGCTGGATTTATCCATTTTTCGCGTTAGCCAAGCAATTACAGTATTATCCGCCGGAAAAATTCCGCCCGCCTTTTCCCGTAGCATTACATAAGTTTCTCTACTTAAAGAAGCGCCTTTTTCAAGCGAGAAAGTGGAAAGGAGAATTAGGCCAAATTGTTTTTTGGAGGTAGTTGAGCCACTCACCTGCTGGGCCGCTAGCAGCGCGTGGGTCGGCGAGTGAACCTGAATTGCCCGCTGCGTTCCATCTCTCGTGCTGAGGCCGCGAGGTCTTAAGCTGCAGCGTTCTGCGTTGCCTACAGCACCCGACACAAGCACAAAAAGTGTTTTAAAATATTCCTTAATACGACTGTTAGTGACTCGGATGGGATTTCCGATAAAAGACGTCGATGAATATAGTGTGAAGAAGTACCCTCAAACTAAATCGATAATCGCGACAACTTATATGATATAGAATCAAACTAGCGCGTCTAGGGAATAGAAGCAGACTTCTCATATTAATTTTTTCCATTTCTTTTGAGTCTTGGCTAGTTGCTCGAACTGCCTCATACCCTTGCCTGCTGCGGTCTATCGCCGCCGCAAAGCAACAATTTTTATTTTAAAAAATTGGTGTTTTATTTGTTAGAATGGAAATATCTTATTTAAAGAATTCTAAAAGAACCGTAAAACCTTGTAATAAATGGCTTCTGTAAGCACCTCTAGTTTCGTTTATCACAGGCACAGCAATTGCATTTTTTTTCTTGCCGAAAAATCCGGTGCGTTTAGGCGCCACTTTCAAAACGTTCCCTATGCTAAGTATATTACTCCGCATACGTATGAAGGAGTGTAAAAATGCAGTAGATTGCACAGAGAAAACAGCCTCCTAGGGAAACATGTAGCAGTGATGCAACGAGAAAGTATTTTGTCATGTTTTTTCTCATGCTTCTATTGCATGGTATCAGACGGAAAAAATTTAGAGATTAGTTGACAGAAGAGAGGAAAATATTGAATTTGGAAGGAATAATTGTCGCATCAATTTGGACGCACATTCAAATAGCAACCAGATTTTTGAATTTTTTTCGGCGAGATTTTAAAGTTGCAGTACTTTCTCAGTTTTTTCCTAGGAAATGTGTCTGACATTTCTTGGGAATTAGGGTCATTTTTCTTCATATATATTACATTGGCTATTTCTTTTCTTCATATTTTCTTTCATATTGATTAGGTCGCGATTACGATTGGGAGTATGCCCTCCCTCGCCGCGCCGCCGGCCCGCCCCTCTCTCCCTCTCTCTCCCTATGTCCCTCCCTCTCTCTCTCCGTGCCCCGCACAGCACCTCGCGCTACCACTCTCTCTCTTTCCCCTCCCACTCGCTCTTACTGCCCCGACAACGCTTTGCACTCCCTCTCTCTTTCTATTTCCCTCTTTCTCGCTCCCCCTGCTCCGCACACCCTCTCTCTCTCTTTCCCTCCCACTCGCTCTCCCTTCCCCGCACACCCTCTCTCTTTTTCCCTCCCTCTCTCCCTTCCCCGCCCGGACCCTCGCACACCCTCTCTCTGTCCCTGCTCCGCACAGCACCTCGCGCGACCACTCTCTCTGCCTTTGCCTCCCACTCGCTCTCCTTGTTCGGAAGCCACGTTTCATGGGTAGTAGATCCGAAATGTCTGTTGACTCAGGAATTTCTTGGAAACTCAAGAATTTTAAGGAAAATGTGTTTCCTTCGGTTTCTTTTACCCGACAACAAAATTTAATAAAAAATTGGAGATATGTTTTTTGAAAATTATGAAAATGTCTCAGGGGCTTAAAGTAAATCCACCCAAAATTAAAATATCGGTTTCAAATTCAAAGAGACACGACATTTGCAACATCGATTGAGGAATATTAATTTTGTAGAAAATCGTGTGAAGGCGCTAGCGTTCATCACAAACGGACAGACGTTTCAGAATCAAGGTCCCACAAACACGGATTATGGCTATACCACGCATTGGAGGATTTTTTTTCTAAATTTAGCAACTGGATTTATCCACTTTTTTGTTACCAGGGCCCGGCAATTACAGTTTCTCCGCCGAAAATTCGCCGCCGTTTCCCGTAGCACTACATAAGTTTCTCTTCTTAAGACGTGCCTTCGTAAGGCGAGAAAGTGAAAGGAAAATTAGGCAAATTGTTGTCGAAGGGAGTTGAGCCACTCACCTGCTGGGCCGCTAGCAGCGCGTGGGTCGGCGGAGTGAACCTGAATTGCCCGCTGCGTTCCATCTCCTCGTGCTGAGCCGCCAGGTCTAGACTCAGCGTTCTGGCGTTGCCTACAGCACCCGACACAAGCACACGTTTTTAAAAAATATTCGTAATACGACTGTTGCAGTGATGAATGACTCGGATGGGATTTCCCGATAAAAGGACGTCGATGAATATAGTGGTGAAGTACCCCCAAACTAGATCGATAATCGCGACACTTATACGAAATAGAATAAATTTGTGGTGCTAGGGAATGGAGCAGACTTCCACATAGTAGTTTTCCATTGCTTTGGGTCTTGGCTAGTTGCTCGAACTTGCCACATACCCTTGCCTGCTGCCATCTATCGCCGCCCAAAGCACTTTTTTTTAAAAAAAATTGTGATTTAATTGTAGAATGGAAATATTATTTAAAGAATTCTAAAGAACAGTAAAACCTTGTAATAAATGGCATTCTGTAGCACCTCTAGTTCGTTATCAAGGCACGGCAATGCATTTTTTTCTTGCCGAAAATCCGGTGGTTTTAGGCGCACTTCAAAACTTTCCCTATGCTAAGTATATTATTCCGCATACGTATAAGGGAGTGAAAAATGGAGTAGATTCACAGAAAAACAGCCTCCTAGGGAAACCTGTAGCAGAGATGCTACGAGAAACGTATTTTTCATGTTTTTTCTCAGCTTCTATTGCATGTATCAGACGGAAAAATTTAGAGAATAGTTGACAGAAGAGAGGAAAATAGTTGAATTTGAAGGAATTTTGTCAATCAATTTTGACGCCACATTCAAATAGAACAAGAATGTTTTGAATTTTTTCGACGAGATAAAGTTGTAGTACTTTCTCAGTTTTTTCCCTAGAATATGTCTGACTTTCTGGGAATTAGGGCATTTTCTATTTTCTTTCGTATGAGTGCCGCGATTATCGATTGTGAGTATTAGGTTACGCCCCCCTTGAATGGTTGAACGTGAGTGTGTATGCACCTCCTGCATTGAACGGCTGAAAAGGAGTGTGCGTGGGACTATCCCATTCAATGCTTGAAGGGGGCGTGACCTGTTCCATTGAATGGCTGAACGTGAGTGTGCATGCACCTCCTGCATTGAACGGCTGAATAGGAGTGGCTGAACGTGAGTGTGCATGCACCTTCTGCATTGAACGGCTGAATAAGAGTGGCTGAACGTGAGTGTGCATGCACCGTCTGCATTGAAGGGCTGAGCAGGAGTGTGCGTGTGACTCTCCCATTGAGTGCTTGTAGGGGGGCGAGACCTATGCCATTGAATGCTTGAAGGGGGCGTGACCTGTTCCATTGAAGGGCTAAACAGGAGTGTGCGTGTGACTCTCCCATTGAGTGCTCGAAGGGGGCGTGACCTGTTCCATTGAAGGGC